TATCTATGTCTGTTGTGTAGGCAAATGTCGTAAGTCCAATTTTTGTGAAAACTGAAACCGTATCTATAATGAATGCATCCATAAGTTATGCATGGGAATTATGTTACTTTGGAGGTAAAAAAAAATATTAATATTTTTTTTTTTCTGACTTATAGTTAATATGACACTTACGTCTATTGCCAACGTAGCAAACGATATGGATTATTGAAGCCGATAATTTTTAAACAGATAATCTGCATAAAAAATAGATTTTAATTGGATTATTTATTGATGTAAATCATTTGTTATTATAGCCTTAAAGTCATTACATAACCTTCACAGCGACACACAATTTGTTTGAATAACTAGGTTGAACTATTTTGAATGTGTATTACAATTTAAATAATTAAACGATTTCCTATTATAATCGGAGTTATATAGTAGAATCTATTTATATAGAGTGCTCTAAAGTATCTTTGGATTTTTATAAATATATACAGGGTGAGATAAAAAAACTACAAAAAAGACAAACGCCATAATTTTTACATTTTTATAAATTTTATTGAATGAAAGCAAAAAATTTCGGAAGTAGCATCAAATTTTAGAATAATTTTAGATTGGTCACCTTTGGCACGAATTATGTCCTTCAAACGGCCAATGAAACCGTCACACGCTGCCCGAATGTTTCTCTGCGGTATTTTGGCCCATTCCCGACAAAGGTAACGAACTTTGGCATTTTTTGGTGCCAAACTTGCTTTTCAAAATACTCCAGACACATCAGTCCAAGGGATTGGTATCCGGAGATTTTGCTGGCCATTGTGCGCTGGAAATAAAGCGAGGAACCTCACTTTTTAACCATTCTTGGGTGGCTCGTGCTGAGTTCAATGGTGCTTAGTCCTGTTGGAATGTCCAAGGTCTGCGGCCAAAATGTTTGCTTGTCCAAGGCTTTAATACACCCTCCAGAATATTTTCGCGATAATATTCGGCATTTACTCTGATGCCACGGTCAAATAATACGAGCGGAGAGCGACCATCGGCTGTTATGGCGGCCCACACCATCACCATTGCCGGCTCTTGAGTTCTGGTGGCCAACCAAAGGTGTACATTTTCAACTGACCTCTTTGGCAAGTAAAAACGATCATTTTGTTTGTTTACAAACTGTTGGACAACGCATGTTTTCTCATCGGAGAAAACCAAATTCGGCATTTCACCACTTTCGGCCAAGCGAAGCAACTCTTTAGCTCCTTTGAGTCTATTTTCTTTCTGTTGCGGCGTTAGTTCTTGCACTTTTTGGAATTTCAATGGCTTTACCCCGAGTTCATTTTTCAATGGAATGCCGAATGGAATATTGTGATATATTCTGCTCCCGAGCATTTTTCGGCCACTACGATGCGGGTTTCGATCAAGTCGCTTCTTTACTTTTCGAACCATTTCTGCTGATGTTGCTGTTTTCTTCCGTCCACTTCCTTGACGTCGGGCTACGCTACCAGTATCACGGTAACGAGCGATGGTACGAGACACAAAAAATTTATTCACATTTAAATGCTGGAGTGCTCTAACGATAGCCACTGGTGGTTTTCCAGCCAAATATAAAGAAATCACACTATCACGCCTGAATTCCATCACGAATAACTTTTTTTCTGGAAAATTCTCACCAAAATGCTTTTGTACGCTTTAAACAATGCAATTAGCTGTCACTGGAATAATTGTAACAGCTGTCGGACGTGTGGCTAAGAAATGACAGCAGTCTGAATTTGGTTGCAGTGTTTTCATCTCACCCCGTATATGAATTCCTGGAGGCCAGATTTAGACTCTTGACGTCTTCAAGGACCTATAGTAGAATTCTATGGCAAGTAATTTTGTAAAATATTTTAACTGGCTACGATCCAGTTTAAAGGGAGTTTTTAGCCATATTTTTCCGGAATCTTAAATTTTCTTAAAATGTTGAAAAGTCTGCAAGAGGGGGGAAATTGCCATTCCCTATTTAGGTTACTTTCCGATGTAAGCTTTCAAAACGCCAATACACGTGTCTTCTTTTTATACCCTACACCACAAGGTGGCCAGGGTATTATGTCTTTGTGCATTTGTTTGTAACAGGCAAAAGGAAAACGAGATAGACCCATAGTTCCTTTTGATGATCTGCATAGAATCACTTTCTGAGTTGATTTATGCATGTCACTCCGTCTGTCCGTCCGTCCGTCCGTCTGTCCATGTATTCTTGTGAACAAAATGCAGGTCGCATTTATTACCCGATCCAGATGAAATTTTGCACAAATCATTTGTTTGGCCCAATTGAAATTGGAGATAATCGGTAAAAATTTAGATATAGCTCCCATATATATCTTCGTCCGATTTGTCTTTTATTGTGCACCAAACGTGTAATATCAGCCCCAATAGTATGGAATTTTGCCCAAAAAACCAAATTAGGCCTGAAAATAAGTATGCCAAATTTTATCGAAATCGGTTCAGATTTAGCTATAGCTCCCATATATATTGTTCATCCGATTTGTTATTTTTTTCCTCCGCAGCCGTAATATGCACTCTGTAACAACAATATTTGGGGAAATTTATCAAATACAGCTCAGAAATACATTTGCTAAATTTAATCGAGATCGGTTCAGATTTGGATATAGCTCCTATATATAACTTTGTCCAATTTACCTTTTATTGTGCACCAAACGTCTAGTAATTGTCCAAATGGGATGGAATTCGGCACTTACGACCGAATTGAGTCTAGAAGCTATTATGTCAAATTTGGTGAAGATCGGTTCAGATATAGCTATAGCTCCCATATATATTGTTCATCCGATTTGTTATTGTTGTCCTCCGCAGCCGTAATATGCACTCTGTAACAACAATATTTGGGGAAATATATCAAATGCACCTCAGAAATACCTTGCAAAATTTTATCAAGATCGGTTCAGATTTGGATAAAGCTTCCATATATATTTTTATCCGATTTCAAATAATTTGTGCACCAAATGGGGCACCAAGTCCGAATTTAAAAGATACGAATGCTTCGGCATATTTAGTCGTTTAAACTTTAAATTATAATTTAATCATAGGGTGTATGATTGAATCCTCCCATAAAAACTTTTAATTGTTATGTGGAGCTCTACTAAATTAGCAAAGTGGTGTAGGGTATCATAAAGTCGGCCCCGCCCGACTTTAAGACTTTCTTTACTGGTTTAACTCTACTTTCATAATCTGCTGGATTTTTTTGTGTTGCCCAGTGTTATCCAAGAAATTTCATTTTTTTGCCTACAAAAGATGTCCTATTGATTTCCTGTCCTAGGGATTTCCCGCAGAACATTCTTTGATTAATGATATTCTCTGGACTTTATACCATTTTTCCCAAGTTTAATTTAATTCATAATAAATGATAAACAACACTCCTCCATAAAATCTTTTAATTGAGCAATTTGTAGCTGTAAACTAACATTCATCATAAGTAGGCACCAACTAACAAGCCGGCCAATCAGCTGGGCATTCTAAGCCTGGTTTATTACAATTTTTGTTTTGTTTAATGTCTTTAATTCATAAAACCGACACTAGATATCAAATGTATTTCAGTTGTATTTTACATTTCAAATGCAACGGTCCATCGGAAGTATAAAATTTCTCTATTAATCCGGAGACGTATTCGTGAGACAAAATGAATTTCGCCGTGTTTTTGTTGAGATTTTTTGCGGTAGCGGTGTTATTTTTGATGTATCAAGGATGTGTTAATGCTGAACTTAAATGTTAGTAATTAAAAAAGTTGTTGTTGTTTGTGTAGTTTGTCCTTTGCAAATGTGGTGATAGCTATCAGTGAACAATAATATCTAGTTTTCAATGGCAAGGTTCCGTTGGCCAAGTGAAAATAATTGCAGTTCATAAATATTGGAGGATTTTAAAGTGGAAAATGTTGAAGTTTTTATACCCTCCACCATAGTATGGAGGGTATATTAAGTTTGTGATTACGTTTGTAACACCTCAAAATATACATTTTAGACCCCACAAAGTATATATATATATATTCTTGATCAGCATAAAATTCTATGTCGATTTAGCGATGTCCGTCCGCCTGTCCGTCTGTGGAAATCACTCTAGATTCCGAACAAATTGAAGTAGATTGATAAAATTTTACTCAAATGTATGTTATGTCTGCAGGACTTTTGGTATTGAACATGGGCCATATAGGTCCACGTTTTGGCATTGCCCCCATATAACGGTACTCCCCGATATTCGGTATTTTGATGATTTTAGCGACGTTATTAACCAGCATTGTTTCAAATTTGGTATTTGAAGTTCGCAATGGATACTACATCCTATGACAGAAAATTGTTTATGCAGGTCCACGTCCTCGTATAGACCCCATATAACGGTACTCCCCGATATTCGGTATTTTGATGATTTTAGCGACATTATTTACCGGAATTGTTTCAAATTTGGTATTTGAAATTCGTAATGGCTACAACAGCCTAACACAGAAAATGGACCATATAGGTCCACGTCTTCGTATAGACCCCATATAACTGTACCCCCCGATATTTGGTTTTTTGATGATTTTAGCGACATTATTCACCGGAATTGTTTCTAACTTGGTATTTGAAGTTGTCAATGGAAACTACATCCTATGACAGAAAATTGTTTGTGCAGGTCCACGTCTTCGTAGAGCCCCCATATAGCGGTACCTCCCGATATTCGTTATTTTGATGATTTTAGCTGAATTATAAACAGATTTTGTTTTCAAGTTACACTTTTGAATATTTTAATAGCTAATGACAAAAGCAGCCTACGATCTATACGTCCTCGTATAGACCCTAATATAACGGCTACATTCAGTATTTTTAAGATTTTAACAGAATTTTTAACGGATTTTATTTTTTGAAAATTACCAAATTTGTTCCAAATGGTGGAGGGTATTCAAAGTTCGGCCCGGCCGAACTTACAGCTTTTTTACTTGTTTTTTTTTTATAAAATGATTTTGTTTTATAAAATTCATAAAAGGGTCTCTAATTCGTGAAATTTAATTTTAGATTCCCAAAAGGATTTTCCTCCTCTCTACACCTTTGATGATTACGATTTATGCCTGAAAAATCGTTCAACCCAACTACCGCCCACCTATTGTATGATCTATGCAGAGGTCCAACCAGATAATTCATCCGAACTATGGCAAGCGATTTTGGAACATAATAATTATCGATATAATTACCATTATGATCGTCTGTTCTTTGGTGTGTGCCTGAAACGCTGCCTGAATGTGGTGGGACACATTGCTGAGAATATTACGTATCCTCCAGAGAATTTTACCATCGATAATGAGGTGAGTTAATTGTGGATTTTCAAAATAACCGTGGGATTTAAAAATCCACGCTTAAAATGATAAAATTTTTTGGGCATATCAGATTAATAATCGCCCTTTTTTACATAATATTTTTTACGGTCTCGTGTCTTTATATAATAATTTAAGACCTATCCGACCAATAACCGTGGATTTTTTTAAATATTTTCAAGACCTATCCGATCAATAATCGTGACTTTTTTAAACAATAGTTTTTAATAATCATGGATTTGGTTAAATAATATTTTTTTTAAGGACTAGCAGAGCTATAATTATGGACATTCTAAAAACAATATTTTTGAGGACTATCAGAGTTACGACCGTGGACTTTTCGATTCTTCAAATTTAGAAGTATCCAATTCCGTCCAAACTTTTTACATCGTAATATTATTATCAAACTTAAATTGAGTTCAGAGATGGTTAAATCGGTCTAATACCTCTGATACCACCCACAGAAAAAGTCAAACAAAGTAATTTATAATATAAAAATGGATAGGATCATTCAATTTTGTTCAAACTTTGCAAATCCTAAAGATTACATCAATGCTAGGTCAGGTGCAAAATTCTCCCTCATGTACCTCCCCCACAAAGGGTCAACATTTTGAATATTCCCAACACTTAAATAAATGTGAAAATAGAGTCAAATTGACTTCAAATTTCGCATATCTGAATGTTTTTACCAACACTAGGTTTTATATGAAGATAAACCAGACCTTCCATCTAAAACGACATTTTATGTTACTTTCAGACATCAACTCGAAAAAAGTTCGAGGAAAAATTCATAAAAAAATTAGAGAATATTTTCAGTTTTTATACCCTACAGAGGGTATATATCATTTGATACGGCCAAAACGTGCCTCATCGAAATAATGGTTTTAGACCCTAGGTCTCTTTGGACCAAATCCGAAGGGAGTATACGATTAGATCCAAAGTTGGTACATGGTAATGTTATTGTCAAACTTAGATCGAGTTCGGAGATGGACAATATGGGTTCACTCCGTCTGGTACCTCCCACACAAAATGTCAACATTTTCATTTTTCCGATTTCGCTCCAACTTTGCGAATCCTAATATTTTCATCAGTGCTAGGTCAGGTGCGGACAATAATGGACAATAACGGTCCACTCCAAGAATTACAATAATAATTACAACTCTTATAAAATGTGATGTAAGACTCCAATTATCTTCAAATTTTACACATCTCAATAATTTTATTAACCCAAGGTCTGGTGTGAAAATAAAATTTATCGGTCCACTCCCACACAAAATGTCGAATTTTTCGAAAAATATGTTTTTTGCACAGTAAAACAAAAGATAATCCGATTTTGCTCCAACTTTGCGAAACCTAATATTTGCGTCAGTGATACGCCAGGTGCGAAAACGGATAATGTAGGTCCACTATTAAACGGATAATGTCGGTCCAATATTTTTATCGACTCAAGGTCTGGTGTTAAGATGGAATATATATATATATATATATATATATATATATATATAACAGAAGTCATAATACAAACATTGGCTGAGGGTATACATCTGTCGGCAAAACTACTCTTTAACTTGTTTTTTGGAAGCATTGATGCAAATATTTTTTTTTTCTTTGGTGACTGATAGCGAAATCGCATCCTTCTTAAATGATCCTTTATTAGAGATTTTTGCACAAACTCACACAGAGTATGGTTTTAACCCTAACATTTTTTTTAATATATAGGAATTCCTGGTGTTTAGACTCTTGAAATCTTCTAGAATACATAGTAGAATTTTTTTTAAATAATTTTTAGGTAAATACTTTGACTTGCTGCGATCTCGCTTAAAGGGGGTTTTTAGCGATATTTTCAAAAGGATTAAAAATACACATTTGTTGACTCGCTTGAGGGTTGACATTTTTGATCGGAAAATCCCCGTGTTTTTATCTGCAATATTGCCAATGATACTATAGACCGAAAATCCACGGATTCCAAGGAATCTTAGTCAGAACATTTCCAAATGTGCGGAAGAGTGAGGTACTTGCCCTCTTTGTTTAGGTTAATTTGCGAAGCTAACCTTAAACAAGTAAAAAAACATTATGTTCGGCCTGACCAAAGTTTTAATGCCCTCCACCTTTGGGCTAAGAGAACATTTTTATATAAAAGCATCTGAATTCACACGTGCTCCACTTTAAACAAAAAATAACAGTAGGACATTTTTGGTAATGCTGTTAAGCTTTTCAAAAAGCCATAAAGTGTGGGCCGTTGAATGATACCAAAACGGTATATACAATCTTCTTAAATACCAAATTTGAAACAATTTCGTGGGTAAATGTTGCTAGTATTATCAGAATAGTGAGTATCGGTGGCTATCGTTATCCATTTGAACTACAAATACCAATTTTTAGACAAATCCGTGGGAAAATTATTCAAAAATCATCAAAATACCGAATATCGGGAGGTTCTGTTATATGGGGGCTATACCAAAACGTGGACCATTCAAGACACAGTACAAATTCGATTTAAAATTGTATGCTGATTATGAATATATGCGATCTTTATGGGGTCTATGACGAATATTTTGGGTTGTTACAAACGGAATGACAAGGTTAATATACCAAGGCGGAGGGTATAAAAACGCCGATATACGTGTCTTCTTCTTTTAACTCTACTGACATAATCTGCTGGATTTTAAACAAATTCCTTAAAAGATCCTCCAATTCCTCAAAAAGATAAAAATATTACATTAATAAATAAATTGCTAAAAAATTTTCTACGGCAGGCTAAAATTGTAGATTTTTAAAAAATATTCTTCAGATATATCCATGCTAAAATCTTAGATATTAAAAGAATATTTTCTCAAGGACTGCCAATTCCAAAATTGTGAATTTCAAAGAATATTTCTACAATGTATAACAGGATCAAATTCGCGGATTTAAAAGTATATTTCTTCAAGGACTAACAGCTTCTAAATCCTGAACATTTAAAAAATATTTCGTCAAGAATTTTCAGGTTAAAACTCCCTGATTTTTAAAATATATTCCTTCATGAAGAATCTGGTCGGAAATTTCAGATTTTGAAAGAGTTTTTCTTCAACTACTAATTATAAGTGTCAAAATCGTGAATTTTTTCGAGAGTATGACTTCAAGACATGTCAAAAAAAAAATATATGAACAATAATTTTGAATTTTTATAGATTATCAGAACCAACATTTTGGATTTTTTAAGAATAAATTTTTATATGATATATTAGATCGAAAATTTTTAATCTAAATATACTTTTAGACCAAATCTTCATAAGAATATAGTAGTCGTGAATATTCAAAGAGTATCTTTATATTTTCAGACCTGTAGTCATTGCTATATTTTAATCGTTTCATTTCCCTTTCAGATAACCGAATATTTTGAATATGTCCAACGGCGACCCTTGGACATTGAAATCCGCACAAAATATGCTTCAGTTATTCACAACTGTTTAAATGCCGAATTTGAACAAAAGTATAATTTAAAATTGAAGACATTCATTGAATATTGTGAAAGTCCCAGTGTGGAGACTGCAGTACAAGAAACAGGTGCGTTTTTTTGTTCAATTACATATTTCAACACTGAAGATAAGCGGGTATTTATTCTGAAACATTCCAAAAGACACTTATAATTTATAACAGTTAATATTTTTAATTTTTGTAATAATTGGAAATTTAAATACCGATAATATTTTCCAACCTTATGACAGACAACCAATCTACATTATTAAGTGCCTATTTCAAAGAATGATGTAATTTTTCTTGAAAATTTTAATAATGAGCTCACATTATCACAGCCTGCAAATAATTCATCATTTAATTGCAAATAAGTTGTCTTTTAATGACTCTAATGATTTTCTCTAACCATTTGGTAGAAACTTGTTTGAAAAAAATCTATCAAAAAGCCAAACAATACACTTCAATCATAATATTTACAGGTTCTTACACTGATATACCCCATGGCCTGCTCTTTCCCTTAAGCAGCAAATGATCTAAATCGTAATTGAAGACGGGGTGTAAAAATGGCAATTAAAGAAAATTAATTACAATTACAGTAAATTGGAAATTTATTTACTTAACTCCAGCAGGTTTTAATGATTTTTATATTAAAAAGAAGATGATCTAGGTGTATAAAAATTGTTATCTTTTTATAAAAGTTGTTATCTTTTCAAAATATCATTGTTTATTTTTTGTTTATTATATTCCAGATTTGGCGGAATCAATTTTAAAGAAATTCTTTAAAACCCTACTTTTATTGGTGGCCCTGTCAACATTTTATGATTATTTCCTAAAGACTCGCCAAACGGATGAGAATCTGCGCAAAGATTTCTATAAAAATAATCTTCATTTTCCATGTAAGTATGTATATAATTTATTATTTCTGATACTCTATTTTGAGAATAAAATATTGTTTTCTTCATAAAATATTCATTTAAAATTTTATTTTCTATAAATATTTGGAGATTAATTGGAAAATATATTTATTTGATTTATTTATGACAATTCCACAAAGATATACAGGGTGAAATAAAAAAAAAACTGCAACAAAGTCAAAATTTTTACAATTTTTCTAAATTTTATTGAATGAAAGCATAAAATGTCGGAAATAGCACCGAATTTTAGAATAAGTTTAGATTTGTTTGAATTGGTCACCTTTGGCACGAATTATGGCCTTCAAACGGCCAATGAAACCGTCACACCCTGCCCAAATGTTGTCTGCGGTATTTTGGCCCATTCCCGGCGAAGTGCTTGCTTAAGGTGATCGACACTTTGGTATTTTTTAGTGCCAACTTTGCTTACCAAAATACTCCAGACACAGTAGTCCAACGGATTGGTATCCGGAGATTATAGTGGCCATTGTGCGCTGGAAATGAACCATTCTAGGGTGGCATGTGTGTACAGGGTGAGATAAAACAAGTACAAAAGCAGCTAAGTTCCACCATTTGGAAGAAACTTGAAAATTTTCAAACAAATTCTGTCGAAAAATACCGCTTGCATGAAAACCGATAAATGGAGCTATACGGTCCTGCATAAGTAATTTGTGTTATAGGCTGTAGTAATGGTTCCGAAATTTATATGGAAAATTTGAAATAATTCCGGTGAATAATGTCATGAAAATACCGAATATCTGGGGGTACCGTTATATGGGTGCTATACTAAAACGTGGACCTATTTAGACCATTTTCTTCTAAGTGGTAAAGTACTCAGAAGAAACCCCTTGGATTTTAAGACAATTCCATTGGAAAACTTGGTTGAAGTCATAGAAACACCGAATATCGGAAAGTGCCGTTGTAAGGGGGATATACGTTATCGTGGATCTATATAAACAATTCTCTTTCAGGGGGTAAAGAGAACTCCTTGTGTACTATTTCAAAAACTTCCATTGAAAAAAGTGACTAAAATCATCAAAATACCGGATATCGGGGGGTACCATTATTTGGGGCCTATACGATATCGTGGACCGATATAGATAATTCTCTTCCAGGGGATAAAGTGATTACAAGGAACTCCTTGTGTGGATTTTCAGACAATGCCGTTGGAAAATGTGGCTAAAATCATCAAAATACCGAATATCGGGAGGTACCGTCATATGGGGGATATACGATATCGTGGATCTATATAGACAATTCTCTTTCAGGAGATCAAAAAGAACACCTTGTGTAGAATTTAAAACAATGCCATTGAAAAATGTGGCTAAAATCATCGAAATACCGAATAGCGGTATGTACCGTTATATGGGATTTATACGATATCGTGGACCTATATTGTCCACCTTCGTACTTGACCTGCTTGTAGACAAGAGACAGATCTGTGCAAAATTTTAGCTTTCTATCTTAATTCGTTTTGACTTATCGAATTGGTCCGAATGTTGTTCTGCGGTATTTTGGCCCATTTTCGGAGAAGCGCTTGCCTTCCAAAATACTCCAGACAAAATAGTCCAACGGATTGGTATCCGGAGATTTTGATGGCCATTGTGTGCTGAGAATGAAGCGAGGAATCATTCTTGGGTGGCGCGTGCTGAGTCCTGTTGGAATGTCCAAGGTCTGCGTCGAAAATGTTTGCGTGCCCAAAGCTTTAATACACCCTTCAGAATATTTTCGCGATAATATTCGGCATTTATTCTGATGCCACGGTCGATTAATACGAGCGGAGAGCGACCATCGGCTGTTATGGCGACCCACACACTATCACCATGGCGGGCTTGAGGCTTGAGTTTTAGTGGCCAACCGAAGGTGCACATTTTCAGCTGACCTCTTTGGCAAGTAAACCCGATCAATTTGTTTGTTTACAAACTGCTGGACAACGAATGTTTTCTCATCGGAGAAAATCAAATTCGCAGTTCACCACTTTCGGCCAAGCGAAGCAACTCTTTAGCTCTTTTGAGTCTATTTTCTTTCGGTGGCGGTGTAAGTTTTTGCACTTTTTGGAATTTAAATGGCTTTACCCGGAGTTAATTTTTCAATATGTGCCAAATGGAATATTGCGATATGTTCAGCTCGCGAGTCATTTTACGGGTACTGCGACGCGGTTTTCGATCAAGTCGCTTTCTTACTTTTCGAACCATTTCTGCTGATGTTGGTGTTTTCTTCCGTCCACTTCCTTGACGTAGGGCTACGCTACTAGTTTCACGGTAACGAGCGATGGTACGAGACACAAAAGATTAATTCACATTTAATTGCAGGAGTGCTCTATCGATTGTCATTTGAGGGTTTTCAGCCAAATATAAGGAAATCTCACTATTATTATTGAAAAATGTTCCTCACAAATTTTATGATTACAGCAATAAAGGTCACTAAAAATATTATTATTCAAACGTCCTTCAAAACATATTTTTTTAAGAATTCATCGATTATAAATCCAGAACTCCAAAAATGTCCTTGAAAGTCCTGCAAAATTATTTAAAAACAAGTAAGCAAAGGCTACAGTCGAGCGGGGCCGACCGTTGAATACCCTACAACACTATAATAAACGATACAGTTTATATAGGCGAGATACTCGAAAGAATTCTACAAGATATTGTGACAAATAATAAAAGAAATCAGGTTTCGTTCTCTAATGTTCAAATAATAGCACCTTAAACTAATTTGCTCATTTCCAATTTATTGGTAGATGTTGCAATTAAATGGTCTTCCTAGATCTGGAACTAATATTTCCCAAAGACCTATAATCTCTCAGAATTGGCAAAAGATTCACATTTATTATTGGTTTTTGACTGAAACGCATCTATATGAGATACAGACATTTGACTATATTCTTCAACGAAATCAGCGTTAACGAAATAGTCAGAAGTGCGTCTTTCCTGTATTTGTGAATTCTCCAAAAAGTCTCTGGAATGGACATTTTCGTATTTTGTCTACAAAAGTTGGCAAACTATTTCACACATTGAATATTTTTGGATGACCATCCAAAACTGCTTGGCTTTTGTAACCCCCATTCAAATGTGCGTGAGGATCGGGCGATAATTACGACCTGGTGACAATTTTGTCGTTTTTTGGTCCATTTCTACCCCTAAATATATGGCGATCATCTCTAAAAAGAGTAGGCTTCTATTGTGACCCTCATCTTATCCCCATGCAAAATTTCGTAAGGATCGGGCCATAAATGCGATCTGTATATGATATCCTGATACCCTAACTACTTAGTTTTGTTAGCTGTAGAAATATTATCAAATGTTTAATTCAAAATGAAAATATGCCAAAAAAATATGACAAAATTGAAAAAATATGAGAAAATGTTACAAAATCAATATTTTCATCATAAGAGAGATATTTTTATGCGATTTTTTTAGAAGTTTTTTTCTTTCCTGCCAAGAGGCCATTCTGATTTATTGAGAACTGTCGAAATCAGTTCAGCCGTTCTCGACATATAAGAGATCTTTCAAGCATATCTCCTTTGATAGACATATATATCGCACATATTTTGCTATATATCCGATTTGTTGGATAATAACATCAATGTAAAGGTCAGAAGTAACCTTGTGATGGCTTTGTGATTTCGCCGGGATTTAAAATATTCGCGGTTTAATGAAAAATTTTGAATTTTTTCAACAAAAAAGATATGGTCTATTTTACCCGCTAAATATTATCCGATGACCACCCAAATTGGTAGGCTTCTTCCCCGCCCTAAACTCTAGCTACATGCGAAATACCGCATTGATTGGTCTATAATTGCGACCTGTATAGCTACTGAAAAATCCGACATTTTTTCAGTATTTGGTCCATTTCAACCCCTAAACATTTGGCGATCATCTCCAAAAGAAATAGGGTTCTATTCTGACCCTAGCCCCACCTCCATTCTAAATTTCGTGAAGATCGGGCCATAATTGCGACCTGTAGAGTGATTACAAATTAACATGGACAGACGGACAGACGGACAGACGGACAGACGGACGGACGGACATACATAGCTAGATCGACTCAGCTCGGCGATATAGGAAGATCCATATATACTTTCCTATGTGGGAAATCAATATTTCGTGGTGTTACATAATTTTTGGCCCAATCAAACTTATAATACCCCCAACACATAGTGTTGTAGGGTATAAAAATTCACGAAAAATCTCTATATTCGTTAAAAAATTTTGAATTTTTTTTCCAGAAATCCAAAAAATAAATCCGCCAACACTGACATCTCGTCGAATCCCATCCACGAGATCTATGAGTCTTTGACAATATTTCTAGAAAAAAATACATTTTTTGCTCCATAAATCTTACAAAAATCCGCGAATATTGGCATAAAGTTCTTGAAAAAATTTACTTTTTATTTCTTAAAAAAATATTTTAGAAAATATAACCATCTTTTCCCCTTTTGCTAGTATCGCGCATTTTCACCTCGTTTTCGCTAACGCGCAATTACTATCGCCTAACACAGCCCTATCGTGGCGATTTGGGTCAGGATTTTTCCTATATCGATGGTTTGCGTTCGATGGGCACCCTGATTGTGGTGAATGCTCACACCTTCTATTTGGAATTTATGCATGTGAAAAATCCGGAGTTTTTTGAAGCCAATGGTCAATCTACAGCAGGTCTAATGACTCTCAACACATCGACAGTCATTGAAATATTTATGGTCATCAGTGGTCTGTTGTTGAATGTGAAATTTACGACGGGACGTTTTGTTACCCCACACACGAATTGGATGAAATGTGCGCAAGTGTTCGTGTTCATTGTTCTGAGTCGGTTAATGAGGTGAGCGAAAATTAATTTTAATTCAATGGCGAGAATACTGTCCAATTCTTGCTCTCTAACCTAATGCTCTCTGAACTCTATATTTTTTGAAAAAAAATTCCAGATTTTTGCCTTCTGTGGGAATGTTAGTTTGGGTAAATGTCACAGTTTTGAAGAATTGGGGAAATGGCCCCTTCTGGCGTCACCTCACCGAACCGGGGCGCATTTTTGGCCGCGAAGGTTGGTGGAAAAATCTCTTTATGTTGAATAATTTTTCAATGAAAGACACAGTAAGTTTTATTATTTTCTTTTTATTTAAATTTTAAAAATTGTATATGTGTGTGTATTTTCAGGTGAGCGCCCACACATGGTATCTGGCAGCGGATTTTCAATTGTTTGTCCTTTACACTTTGGTGTTAATATTGATTTCAAAGTAAGTAAAATATTATCTTAAGGAAAAAAATTTAAATAAATTCTTACGAAGAAAAGATATGTTTAGGATTCAGAATGAGAATTATGTCGACACACGATCAAGGACTATTTTTAAGGACTTTTCGCCCAAACATGTTTTAATGGACAAAATATCGTTTAAATTAAAACTATTTTCCAAGGACTATCAGACTAATCATTCTGGAATAATAATTAATATTTTTCTAAGGACTCAATAATTGTAGATTTTATTAGAAATCTTCATTACAAGGACTATGAGGTTAATAATCATATATGTTTTTAAGAAAAATTTTTGAGGCCATATAAGTTCATAAACGAGGGACGTTACAAAAATATCGTGGATTATTTAAGAATATTTTTTGAAGGACTATGAAACCTAAAAAAATGGATTTTATAAAATATATTTTGAATTAATATTGGACTTAAAAGCAAAATTAATTTTAGAATATATTTTTAAGGACCATTGGATATAACTGGTAAGGGGTTTTAAAACATTTGTTTAAGGATCATCGGACCTTAAAGAAATACATTTTTTAGAAAAGGGATCAGAAATCACAAAGAAAAAAATTGAAGAATTTTAAATAATATTCTTCCAAGGACAATGCAACCAATAGCATTGGCTTTTTAAGGAATGTTTTTCAAGGACTTCACGATAGTAACCGTAAATTGTTGAGAAATATTTTTCTAAAGGTCAAATGGTCTAAAATCATGGATTTTTTCAAGGAATATTTTAAAAAGGGCTATAGACATAAAATCGTGTTTTTGGGGTCAGCTGACATACATTCCTGAATTTTTAAGAATAATTCTTTAAGGACTTTCGTCTTATATTTAAAGCAATATTTTGAAAAAAGCTTAGGACTTAAAATTGCGAATTTTCGATGACCATCGGGACGAAAACCAAGAATTTATTAAGGAATGCTATTGGAGAACCATAGGGCCCAGGAATTTTTCAAAAAAAAAATTCGGATATAAAATAGTGATTTTAAGGAACATTTTCTCAAGGAACATTGGAATATTTTAAGGGTTACAGGAACCAACATTTCGGTTCCTTCAGAGTTCATAGAACCTAACTCGTATATTTTTTAAGAATTGCCATTTGGTTTTGATATCGCATAATTTTAAAGAAATTTTTTTGGAGCTTTGGATCACAGACCATAGACCTAAGATCTTGAAATTTATAAGGAATACTTTTTTGCGAGGGCCTTGAGACACATTATTTTTCCAAAGATCAACGTATATAATATCGTGAACTTTAAAGAATATTTTCTCGAGGACATAGGTACCAAAAAAAACAAGAACATCTTAAAGAATATTTAAAGGATAATTTGGCTCAAAATTGGGTTTTCTAAAAATATTTTTAAGGACTATTGGATCTAATATCGTGATTACTCAGAGGATTTTTTTTCAGATACTTGGGAATTTGAACAATTTCAAAAAAAAAAAAAAAAATAAACAAGTAAAAAAGCTGTAAGCTTGGCCGTGACGATCTTTGAATACCCTCCACCATGTGAAGCGATTTTGGCAATTTTCAAAAAAAAAAAAAAAAAAAAATCCGTTAAAAAAAATTGTTAAAATCTTAAAAATACCGAATGTAGCTATTATATTAGGGTCTAACGACGACATGAACCTGCGTAGGTAACATTTGTCATAAGCCATTACAATATTCAAATGCGAAACTTAAAAAAATTGGTTATAATGTCGATAAAATCAAAATACCGAATATCAGGAGGTACCGTTTTATGGGGGCTATACGAAGACGTGGACTTGCACAGACAATTTTCTGTCGTAGGCTGTAGTATCTATTACGAACTTTAAATACCAAATTTGAAACAATTCCGGTGAATAAATTCGCTAAAATCATGAAAATGCCAAATATCCGGAGGTACCGTTATATGGGGGCTTATACGAAGACGTCGACCTGCATAGACAATTTTTCTGTCATAGGCTGTAGCATCCATTACGAACTTCAAATATCAAATTTGAAACAATTCCGGTAAATAATGTCGCTAAAATCATTTAAATACCGAATATAGGGGGGGGGTACCGTTACATGGGGGCTCTACGAAGAGGTGGACCTGTACAGACAATTTTCTGTCTTAGGCTGTAGTATCTATTACGAACTATAAATACCAAATTTGAAACAATTCCGGCGAATAAATTCGCTAAAATCATTAAAATACCGAATATCGGGAGGTACCGTTATATGGGGGCTATACGAAAACTTGGACCGACATGGCACATTAACGAACTTAACCTACCTACTGGCAGAATACAAATGTGTCCAAAATTTCAGTCTTCTATCTCAATTCGTTCAAAGGATAGCGTGATTACAAAAGACAGACAGTCGGACAGACAGACAGAAGACAGGCAGGCGGACATCGCTAAATCGTCTTAGAATTTTACGCTGATTTAGAATATATATACTTTGTAGGGTCTATTATGAATATTTCAAGGAGTTACAAACGGAATGTGAAAATGTGAAACCCTCCATAGAATGGTGGAGGGTATAAAAATATGAGAGGCTCTTTGGTTAAACATCGCGGATTTCAAATAAAAAATAAATAGGCCTTGCGAAAACCTAGTAAAACTTACAGGAAACTTTCATTCAGGATTGCCCTCTAAATTTGAGATTTTTCTAGTTCTACGTTCCCATACTTACTGGGCGAAGCAGTTCTCTCAGAGCAAATGTAATATTCCTCTCTTTTACTAGTTTTACCATAAAAAGATCTGATCACAACAAATATTATCGAATTTTTAAATAATATTTTTTTAAGCAACTCAGGCTTAAGCCATCGCCTGGCTTCTCCCGAAAAGGACAAAAGAGCGTAGGGTGAACAAGAATAAATTATGGACCAAAATCGAACTAAGTCAACCTAAAGCTCCATTGATCCTCTACGAAAAGGCAGCCGATGACTTAAGCCAGACTACAAAAAAAAACTTTTACGTACTCTCACCTTTAGACCAAAATCTGTGCATGTTTAAGAAAATATTCAAAACATTTCTGAAATAACTAAATTTTAACGAGTATTTCAATATCATCATCAATACTCTAGGTATCCACAATTCAAGAAAAGTGTTTATGGAATATTGGCAGTACTGGCCATTCTTATACCCACTATGGTGTGCTATTTGATGAAGTTAGATGCAAGTTTCGTTGTGAGACCAGAGTAAGTTTTAAAACTACAATCCCGAGGAGGAAAATAATTATTTGATTAATAAAATTTATTAATTTTAACTAGAGTCTATCGCTATGGTTTTATGAAAGATGCCGATACATTTTACTATCTTTATACGCCCTTTTACAATAGTTTGGGTGGCTATCTCGTTGGCATGCTGTGTGGTGAATTTTATTTGTTGTATTCACAAAATGCGGAGTTACGTGAAAAATGCCAACGTATATTGAAATATGAAATATTCGCTTGGCTTTTGGTACCGCTCACAATGGCGGGAATTAGTTATGTGGGTAGCATAACAAATTTTATGCAGCCCTCCATATGGACAGCATTGTTTGCTGGTTTAAATCGTAATATATGGAATATCATTGTTTGTGGTATACCCGTTGTTGTGATGGCCTGTAAGCGGGGAAGTAAGGGGTTTTGTGATACAAATTTCATTTTCCGAAATTATTCTAAAAAAAAATTGTTTTTTTTTTCAGAGATCATCTATGACTTTTGCCGCCTGCCAATGTTTAGGATCTTTGCCCGTTTGTCATTTCAAATGTATCTGTTTGATGTTTTGATTTTACAATTAACGAATGGCCATCAGAGACGTCCGCATCATTTGAGTGATTTGTATTTTGTAAGTTATTGCACAGCTATTGGAGAATATATTTATAATTTCGGAATTGTTTTTTTGTTTTGTTTTTTGTTACAGAATGGCCAGGCCCTCATCTCAATAAGCTTGTTAATCATTGTGGCATTTTTTGCCTGTTTACTGATCGAGTATCCATTTGCGCAATTGTTTAATGCCTTGCAAATTGGCAGGAAAAGAACGGGAAAAGGTGGGTGTTTTTTATTTTATTTTTTATAGAAGGACTCAAAAAGTTACTGGGTATTAAAAACATTAACCATGGGAAGAAGACCTTATGTAGAAGTCCTATTAAGGATCTTCTGAATATAGAAAATTTGTGGAAGTTTTTAATACGTAAAAAAACTGCGATGGACTTTTTATACCCACTACCATACACAGTACGGAGGGTATATTAAGTTCGTCATTCCGTATGTAACTCATCGAAATAATTAATTTTAGACCCAACAAAGTATATACTTGATCAGCGCAAAATTATAAGACGACTTAGCTCCGTTCTACCGTCCATCTGTTGTAATCGCGCCAGAGTCAAGACAAATTAAGGTAGGAAGCTATCATTTTGCACCGGTCTGTATTTTGTTCGCAGGCAGGTCAATTTCGAAGATGGGCTATATCGCATAGCCCCCAAATCGTATAGGCCCATGATATCGTATAGCCCTCATATAACGGTACCCTCGACATTCGGTATTTTTATGATTTTAACTACATTTTTCAATGGAATTGTCCGATATTCTACACAAAAAGTTCTCTGTGAGTACTTTACCTCCTGAAAGAGAATTGTCTACATAGATCCGCTATATCGTATAGCCCCATATACAATGGTGCCCCGCGATATTGGGAATTTTAATTATTATAGCCACATTTTCAAAGGAATTGGCTTAAAATTCATACAAGAAGCATCTTCTAGGTACCTAACCCTCTAATTGTCCCTCCATTGTCCATATCGTATAGTCCCCATACAATGGTGCCCCGCGATATTGGGTATATTGATAATTTGAGGCACATTTTTCAATGGAGTTGTCTTCAAATGTACACAAGGAGTTTCCTCTGAGTACTTTACCCTCTAGAAGAGAATTGTCTATATAGGTCTACGTTTTAGAATAGCCCCCATATAACAGCAGCTCCCGACATTCGGTATGACATTATTCGCCCGACATTCGGTATGATTTATTCGCCGAAAATGTTTCAAATTTGGCATTTAACGTTCGTAATGGATACTACAGCCTATGACAGAAAATTGTCTGTGCATCTTCGCATAGTCCGCATATAACGGTACCTCTCGATATTCGGCATTTTGATGATTTTAGCGACATTATTCACTGAAATTATTTCAAATTTGGTATTTGAAGTTCGTAATGGATACTACAGCCTATGACAGAAACTTGTCTGTGCTGGTTCACGTCTTCGTATAGTCCGCATATAACGGTACCTCCCGATATTTCGTATTTTGATGATTTTAGCGACATTATTCACTGAAATTGTTTCAAATATTGTATTTGAAGTTCGTAATGGATACTACAGCCTATGACAGAAATTTGTCTGTGCTGGTTCACGTCTTCGTATAGTCCGCATATAACGGTACCTCCCGATATTTGGTATTTTGATGATTTTTGCGACATTTTTTACCGAAATTATTTCAAATTTGGTATTTAAAGCTCGTAATACTTACTAAATCCTAAGACAGAAAATTGTCTGTGCAGGTCCACACCTTCGTATAGCCCCTATATAGCGTTACCTCCCTATTTTCGGTATTTTGATGATTTTAGCGACATTATTCACCGCCATTGTTTTAAATTTGGTATTTGAAAATCGTTATGGGAACTACAGCCAATGGCCGAAAATTGTCCATGCAGGTCCACGTCTTCGTATAGTCCCCATATAACGGTACCTCCTTATTTTCGATATTTTGATGATTTTTGGCGACATTTTTCACCGGATTCACCGATTTTTTTTTAAATTTCGCATTGGAATATTGTAATGGCTTATTACAAAAGTTGCCAGAGTCCAGGTTGTCTATAGACAGTAATATAACCGTTATATTTGGTACATTTTAATAAAATATTTAACGGATATTTTTTTTGAAAATTGCCGAATTCTTTCCAAATGGAGGGTATTCAAGGTTTGACCCCGCCGAACTTTCAGCTTTTTTAATCGTTTTTCATTATTATCTTTTTACTCTGACTCCACTTTTACAATAAATAATTAATAATTAATAAAATAATTAAATTACAGTTGAATTTGAGATAATATGCTCACAGAACACTTTCTACATAATCGCAACTGAGTGCTGATTATTTTCACTTAAAAATAATCGACTAAAAAAACCAAAAACAAATTTGTACAAAATATTTTTACTTCACATTTTCATAGAACAAAAATTGAGGGCCAGGGACTGATTCTTTGCTCCATTTTTTAAAACAAAAAATATATGTTCTGTATAGAGTTTTTGACTTAACATTTTATTTTCTTTAAAATTTCTAAAAAACAGGAGTCGAGTTCCAAAATGCGATTTTCTTTCTCAGGAGGTCACCCAAGTAAAAAAATATCTCTACTATGTAATTCGATCAAAAATGGAAAGGAGTTTCCCTACCTATATGACCTCTATTTTTAAAATTTAAGTCTTAACAAAAAATCGCAAGAAATCTTCATACTAACGCAATTCAAATTGAAAAACATATATATTAGCATTTATATATCTTAATTTTTATTCCAGTGGAAATAACAAAAGGAAGTCCATAGCTTGAAAATCTGCATGTAAATATTATAACTTAAGTATTGCCTGTAAATGCCAAATAAATCTTATTAACATTGTTTTATTTCTCGTACCGTCATTCTAAAGCAAATTTTTTTTTTTTTTTGTGCTTTTACAATAACAAAAAACTAATATAGTCATTTTTAGAAATTAATACTTTTTTAACTTCTTTGAAAAAATGATGTTAGGATGATTTTTTTATGTATTCTGAGACCTCTTGCAAAATTCTAGAATATTTTGACTTGTGACGATCCTGATTAAAAGAAGGATTTCCAATTTTTTTCTTATTATTATTATTATTATTATTATTATTATTATTATAATTATTATTATTATTATTATTATTATTATTATTATTATTATTATTATTATTATTATTATTATTATTATTATTATTATTATTATTATTATTATTATATTATTATTATTATTATTATTATTATTATTATTATTATTATTATTATTATTATTATTATTATTATTATTATTATTATTATTATTATTATTATTATTATTATTATTATTATTATTATTATTATTATTATTATTATTATTATTATTATTATTATTATTATTATTATTATTATTATTATTATTATTATTATTATTATTATTATTATTATTATTATTATTATTATTATTATTATTATTATTATTATTATTATTATTATTATTATTATTATTATTATTATAATTATTTATTTATTTATTTATTTATTTATTTATTTTTTTTTTTTGAAAGAAAGGGTTAAAATATTTTATTATGTCGGATGTAGCTCTGCGGTATGTTGGCCCATTCCCGGCGAAGCACTTTGGTTTTTTTTTTTTTTTGTATCAACCTTGTATTCCAAAATACTCCAGACACAATAGTTCAACGGATTGGTATCCGGAGATTTTGGTGGCCATTGTGCGCTGGAAATGAAGCGAGGAACCTAATTTTGTAACAATTCTTAGATGGCGCCTGCTGAGTTCGATGGTGCTGAGTCCTGTTGAAATGTCCAAGGTCTGCCCAAGGCGGCTTTAATACACCCTCCAGAATATTTTTGCGATAATATTCGGCATTTATTTTGATGATACGGTCGATTAATACCAGCGGAGAGCGACCATCGGCTGTTATGGAGGCCCACACTATTACCATGGTCGGCGCTTGAGTTCTGGTACCCAACCGAAGGTGCACATTTTCAGCTGACCTCCTTGGCAAGTAAACACGATCATTTTGTTTGTTTACAAACTACTGGACAACGAATGTTTTCTAATCGGAGAAATCGAAAATTTGGCAGTTCCCCACTTTCGGCCAAGCGAAGCAACTCTTTAACGCTTTTGAGTCTATTTTCTTTATGTTGCGGTGTAAGTTATTGCACCATTTGGAATTACAATGGCTTTACCCCGAGCCCATTTTCACTATTTGCCGAATGGAATATTGCGATATGTTCAGATCACGAGCCATTTTTCGGCCACTGCGACGCAGGTTTCGTCGCTTTTTTACTTTTCGAAGCATTTCTGTTGATGTTGCTGTTTTCTTCCGTCCACTTCCTTGACGTCGGGCTACGCTACTAGTATTACGGCTACGATAACGAGCGATGGTACGAGACACAAAAGATTTATTCACATTTAAATGCTGGAGTGCTCTAACGATAGCCACTTGTGGTTTTCCAGCCAAATATAAAGAAATCACACTCTCACGCTTGATTTCCATCACGAATAACTTTTTTTTTTTGGAAAATTCTCACCAAAATGCTTTTGTACGTTTGTAAACAATACAATGAGCTGTCACTGGAATAAATTTAATAGCTGTCGGATGAGTGGCTTAGAAATGACAGCAGTCTGAAGTTGGTTGCAGTTTTTTCATCTTAATTGCTAGATTTTCCCAGCGTCTCAACCGCACTTATAAGAATGTACAAAGTATTTTGCACAAGAGGGTTTAAAGAAAGGTTTCTACATGCTGAAGACCTTCTCAGTACAGAAAAAGTCTAAAGGATCTTCTAAATGTATAATGTATTCTATACACACTTTTAATCCGTAGTTTAACTGAAAAAAAATCCGTAGAATGTCTTTTAATTTTATAAGAATTAAAAACTTTTTTTGTGGAAGGTCTTTCATTAATGGAAGTCTTCAAGAAGGTTTTCTCCTGAAGGTCTTCATATTAAAGAAATACTCCTGAAACCATTAAGTAGAATAATTCTTCATACAATTTTCGAAATTCGTTTTTTTTTTTCTTTTTCATTTCTTTTTCTCAAATATTGATTTATTAACATAAATATTTTTATATTTTTTTAAATGGTCTCTTCCATAGCATATGAAAACTGTCCTAATTGTAGAACATTTTTGTAAACCTTTCGATCCACAAATGATCTTTTCTCTAACTAAAATTAACAAATTTAATGCACATAATACAATCGTGCATACATTTAGTATTATTAACATATTAATAAATTAAAAACATTGTAATAAATCACATAAACACACATTCGATCTTAGACTTGAATCAAATCAAATTAATACAATTTAATATTTAATTTAATTTTTACCAATTACTAATTCAAAAATATTTTCTTCTATTTCAGAACAACCACCCAACAAATGAAAGTTCAATAATTTGGGTTTATTGTTTTAAAAAAAAACTTTAAATGCAATTGTAAATAATAAATTGTAAGAGATTTTATATAATTATTTAAAACCTATTATTATTTGATGAAAATGATATATCAGTGCCTTAATTCTCGTTCTATGAAAACTTTGAAAAAGGAAAAAATTAAAAAATATTATTAAACCATATTTTTCTTTACTTGTTTTCATAGAATAGAAATCCAGCCTCGTGAGTATTAATAGTTATTGAAATAAAATACATAAAAAATCTTGAAAATAACCATAACCATAAAATTCATATAACCTATATCATAACATGGTTTTTTTGTTGTCATATTATTTTCAAATTGTAGCCATATAATGATTACTTTGGTCCATAACATGCTTGCATTGGACCATATTATGGTTGTTTTCCCAACATGCTATGATTAATTATTACCATGCTATGATTATTTTGAACAATATTATTCTTAAATAGGAATCACAGTAAAATTTGCTAAAGCTGCTGCTCAGACGATAAAGGCCTTACATATGTGCTGTCACTCCTATTATCCATGTGCATTTCCGCATGTATGTCAAAATTGTCATGTCACATACAAGTTGAGATGAAAACAAGTAAAAAAACATTAAGTTCGGCCGGGCCAAACTTTTAATACCCTCCACCCTAGGGTAAAAGAACATTAGAAGAAATGTGACAAAAAACATTAAAATGCCGAATATCGGGAGGTACCGTTATATAGGGGCTACACCAACACGTGCACCTATAATTACAATGTTTCGCCACACGAACTAGGACCCATTATGACCCACAAATACCAACTTTTACACAAATCAGTGAAAAAATGTGGCTCAGGGACCCGTTGTGACCTACAAATACCAATTTTCAGACAAATCCGTGAAAAAATGTGGCATAAATCATCAAAATACCGAATATCGGTAGGTACCGTTATATGGGGGCTATACCAAAACGTGGACCTATACATGCAATGTTTTGCCACACGCTCAGGGACCCGTCATGACCTACAAATACCAATTTTCAAATAAATCCGTGAAAAAATGTGGCATAAATCATCAAAATACCGAATATCAGGAGGTACCGTTATATGGGGACTATACCAGAACGTGGACCGATATATCTCATTTTCAATACCAACCATCCTAGGGACAATACACACACTTGTGCCAAATTTCAAAGGTCTACGTCAAATAATGTGAGCTCTATCGTGATTTCAACAGACAAACAGACAGACAGACGGACATCGCTAAATCGTCTTAGAATTTTATGCTGATTATGAATATATATACTTTATGGGGTCTACGACGAATATTTAGAGGTGTTACAAACGGAATGACAAAGTTAATATACCCTCCTACCCATGGTGGAGGGTATAAAAACTGCAACCAACTTCAGACTGCTGTCATTTCTAAGCCACTCGTCCGACAGCTGTTAAAATTATTCCACTGACAGCTCATCATATAGTTTAAAAGTGTACAGAAGCATTTTGGTGAGAATTCTCCAGAAAAAGTGTTATTCGTGGCTATCGTTAGAGCACTCCTGCATTTAAATGTGAATAAATCTTTTGTATCTCGTACCATCGCTCGTTACCTGGTAGATGATACTGGTAGCATAGCCCGACGTCAAGGAAGTGGACGGAAGAAAACAGCAACATCAGCAGAAATGGTGCGAAAAGTAAAGAAGCGACTTGATCGAAACCCGCGTCGCAATATTCCATTCGGAAAATATTGAAAAATGAGCTCGGGGTAAAGCCATTGAAATTCCAAAAAGTGCAAGAACTTACACCGCAACAGAAAGAAAATAGACTCAAAAGAGCTAAAGAGTTGTTTGGCTTAGCCGAAAGTGGTGAACTGCCGAATTTGGGTTTCTCCGATGAGAAAACATTCGCTGTCCAGCAGTTTGTAATCAAACAAAATGATCGTTTTTATTTGCCAAAGAGGTCAGCTATAAATGTGCACCTTCGTTTGGCCACCAGAACTCAAGCGCCGACTATAGTGATGGTGTGGGCCGCCATAACAGCCAATGGTCCCTCTTTGCTTTTATTATCGACCGTGGCATCAGTATTAATGCCGAATATTATCGCGAAAATATTCTGGAGGGTATATTAAAGCCTTGGGCACGCAAACATTTCGGCCGCAGACCTTGGACATTCCAAAAGGACTCAGCACACGCCACCCAAGAATGGTTACAAAATGAGGTTCCTCGCTTCATTTCCAGCGCACAATGGCCACCAAAATCTCTGGATACCAATCCGTTGGACTATTGTGTCTGGAGTATTTTGGAAAGCAATGTTGGCACTAAAAAATACCAAAGTGTCGGTCATCTCAAGCAAGCGCTTTGCCGGGAATGAGCCAAAATACCGTAGAGCAACATTCGGGCAGCGTGTGACGGTTTCATCGGCCATTTTAAGGCCATAATTCGTACCAAAGGTGACCAATTCGAACAAATCTAAACTTTTTCTAAAATTTGAAGCTATTTCCGACATTTTTTGCTTTTATTTAATAAAATTAAAAAATATATTAAAATTATGTATATATACTTTGTTGGGTCTAAAATGATTATTTCGATGAGTTACAAACGCAATGACGAACTTATGCATGGTGGAGGGTATAAAAATTATAATAGTGTGGAGAGGAAGTTTCCCCCCATTTAGGTTACTTTTCGACGTAAAAGCTCTAGTGTTATTTTTTTCTAGCCCTACCTTTATAATCTGCTGGATTTTTACTGTAATTATTCAAAAAAAATGGAATTTTGTCACAAAGTTCGATTTTAAAATATAAATAAATTAAAAGACTACAACAACAGCATACCAGACATATTACGTCAAACATGAACAGTTCAATTATTACAATTAAATATACAATTTAATATAATTTTCACAAACTATTTATGCAAATATGAATGAGACTTTTTATTTCAGATCACTCACCAAAACAACTCAAAGTTTAATAATTTTGGTTTATTGTTTTGTAAAACTTTAAAAGTTATCTAAAAAAAAAAAGAAATAAATACAAAACTATGATATGTAGCAACAAAAACCAGTTTTTATTGATTCAAATCTCGTATTTGAAGTTCATAATGAGTAATATAGCCTGTGACAATAAATTGCCTACGCAAGTCTATGCCTTTTGCCGACATTCAGCGACTTTATTCACCGGAATTTTTTCAAATTTCGTATTTGATGGTAATGGAAATTTGAATGATTTTTTATTAAAAAATGTCAATTCCAAAATTGGTTTGACAATTCATTGTCCCAGTAGGTGTGTCGATGCGACTACCTGTATTCTTCTACCATAATATGTACTTTAAGCTGGGAATACATAAAGTGCTTATTTGGCTGGCTTAAGTCATCGGCTGGCTTCTTCGGAAATGAACAAAGGAGCCTAGGGCCAAAATCGAACTAGGTCAACCTAAAACTCCTTTGTTCATCTACGAAGAAGCCAGCCGATGACTTAAGCCAGCCAAATATGCGCTTTATGTATTTCCAGCTTTACTCATGAACTGAAATATCGTCAAAATTGGTCCCCTCTTTCCAGTACCTTCCCCACAAAATGTCTAATTTTCAAAAAAAAAAAAAAAAATTTTTACTGCAAAAAAGAGAAAAGATAATCCGATTTTGCCCCACATTTGCAAATCCTAATATTTGCATCAGTCCTAGGTCAGTCCACTCCATCAAGTACCTCCCCCACGAAGGCTCAAAATTTTGAATAATTATAACTCTTATAAACTGTGAAATAAAACTCCGATTGTCTTCCATATTTTTATTATCTGGTGTGAAGATGGAGTATATCGGTCCACTCCTTCTGGTACTTCCCACGCAAAGGGTCAACATTTTGAATATCTATGAAGCTCATAAAACTCGAAATCAACATCGGATTCCATTCAGACTTTGTACGTCTCAATATTTCTATGAACACAAGATCTGTTATAAGGATGGTAGAGATCGGACCATTCCTTCTGGTACCTTCCCCACAAAAGGGTCAAAGTTTTCAATAATCAAAACGATTATAAAATCCGAAATAAGCATCCGGTTCTCTTCATAGCTGTGAAGATGGGATATATTGCTTCACACCTTTTGGTACCTCCCCCAAAAAGAGTCAAAATTTTGAATATCCATGAAGCTCATAAAACGTGATTCCATTCCAGACTTGGTACTCTCAATATTTTCATCAACACAAGATCTGTTATAAAATTGGTAAGCGTAAATTTTTTAAATATTTTTTTCAAGGACCTCAATAAAACGTGAACTTTTAAAAGATTTTTTTTTTTCAAGGACCAAAAGACAATTTTTAAAGATTTTTTTTAAGGACCAAAAGACAATTAAAGGTGGATTTTTTAGAGATTTTTTTCAAGGATCAAAAGCCAATTAGACGATTTTTTTAAAGAATTTTTTTAAGGATTAAAAGGCAATTATGCCTGAATTTCTTAAAGAATTTTTTTCAAGGACCCAAAGACAGTTAAACGTTGATTTTTTTAAAGAATTTTTTTCAAGGACCAAAAGACAGTTAAACTTGGATTTTTTTTAAAGGATTTTTTTCAAGGACCAAAAGACAGATATTCGTGAATTTTTTTTTAAAGAATTTTTTTCAAGGACCAAAAAACAATTAAAAGTGGATTTTTTACAGAATTTTTTTTCAAGGACCAAAAACAATTAAACATGTATTATTTTAAAGAATTTTTTTCAAGGACCAAAAGGCAATTAAACGTGGATTTTTTTAAAGAATTTGTTCAAGGACCAAAAAACAATTATACGTTGATTTTGGTAAAGAATTTTTTCAAGATTTTGGATTTTTTTTCAAAGAATTATTTTCAAGGACCAAAAGACAATTTAACTTGGATTTTTTTTAAAGAATCGTTTTCAAGGACCAAAAGACAATTTAACGCTGATTTTTAAAGAATTTTTTTCAAGGACCAAAAGACAGTTAAACTTGGATTTTTTTAAAGAATTTGTTTCAAGGACCAAAGTACAGTTAAACGGGGATTTTTTTAAAGAATTTTTTTCAAGGACCAAAACACAGATAAACGTGGATTTTTTAAAGAATTTTTTTTTTGAAAGACCAAAAAAAAATTTAACGTGGATTTTTTAAAGAATTTTTT